CATCTAGCCAACTAAAGACAAGCCAATTTAGCCCCCCCCCCCCCCCCCCCCCCCCCGTGGCTTGTCACGGGAAGCCATAGAAAGCACGGGTGGCACGGGCGCGAGCGAGTCGAGCGAGTGACCAACCTGAGCCATGGCGACGTGTGTTTTCGAGGATCCCTTGGCCTTAGCTGTTTTGAGGTGGGACGAAATTGAAGAACTCTCCTTTCTGGATATGGAGTACCCCGTTCCGCGGAGGTTTAGGTCCGGGCAAGGCTACTTGGATGTGCTCAACATAGATAGTGAAGCTTTCCGCCATCAGTTTCGTTTTGAGCAGATGGACTTAATGGAGCTGTGTAGCGCGCTGCGAGTCCCTCATACAATTAGGACGGCCCAGAACGTCGCCATCCCCGGGCAGGAAGCTCTGTGTATTCTTCTGCGGAGACTCTCCTACCCCAACCGCCTCTGCGACCTGGAAGGCATTTTTGGCCGCCACTCTTCGACACTTTCGAGTGCGACGACCGTGGTGCTAAACCATTTGACGTCCACGTTCGGGCAGCTGACCGCGGATCTGTCAGCTCACACGTGGTTGAACCGTGCAAGCTTGGACGAGTTCTCCGAGGTAAGCATATTGTAAAGTTAAATTAAAAACACAAAAAAGAAAAAAAAATGCAAGTGCGTTGTTGATTTTGCTTTTGCAGGCGGTCCGCGCGAAGGGGGCACCTCTTCATAATTGCTGGGGTTTCGTTGATGGAACGGCCCGCCCCCTCTGCCGACCCACGGAGGACCAGCGGCTTTATTTCTCTGGCCACAAGCGTGTGCACGCCATCAAGTATCAGGGCATCATGTGTGCCAACGGCATCATCGTGGAGATGAATGGCCCTTACCCGGGACACCGACACGACGCCGGTAAGTCAATAGCAAAAACTCGGAAATCGTAACCTACAGGTTCTTGGAAGAAGCGCTCATAAATAGAGGAACAGCCTCTATCACAGCCAAAATAAGTTGAAACGCCACAGACAAGACCCGTGCTGCTATCAAGGCAGCCTGTGGAATTGTTCTGCAAACTGTGATGGGCGCCGTGGCCAACACAGAGTTCCTTCTACACTGGCGGCTCACCTCTATATTTCCGTGTCGTCTGCTATTGAGCAAATGGTTGCGACATTTCTTCCTTTCGCCAAACCACAAAACCCACGCACGATGCAGAATAAATCTTTGTTGCAGACCTTGTCGAAAGACTGTGCTTATGATAACACAATAATTGGTAAACGATTTAGTGCCCGAAACACATAGATCGCACCTACAGGAATGTGGTTCGACCTCAGGGTACACCACGTAAAGGGCGTTTTCGTGTTTCAAGGGACAGGGACCGCCAGCTTGCCAGAGCTGCATCGGTGAATAGACCTTTTTCAAAGCACGATGCCGCTGTCCACAGCACCGGGGAGGCGACAGCAAAGTAAGGCGAGCAACTGTGCTATACCTCTTGCTCTCTTCAGTGTCAGGGGGGGGGGGGGGGGCAGGCAATGAGGGATTTTTGCAAAAAGCCTATTCTTTCCAATTGAAGTGGGAGCTTCAAGATGACCCGACCATCGAGGCATTCATTTGAACAGAACTGCTGTTTCATAGGCAGAGAACACAGAAGTTCAGGGTGGAACAACGAGCGCAGAAAGGGGTATGTCTTGGCCTCATCGTGCATCACAGTTTGCAGAACAGTGCGGCAGGCGGCTTGGAAAGTACTGCCTGCCTCACATCCTGGCTTTTCAGCTCATCTTGGCCGCGATAGTACAGAAGAAATACTATTTCATGCTTAAATGCTGAAAGTCAAGCTGGTGTTCTTCGGACAGGGAGTTAAACTCTTAAACTGGGGTGGAAAAATAATGTGACAGTACTAAGGGAGGCAAACACTTGTCCCATTGCTTTTTTGTTAAAGGGCGTTGTTGTATAAGCTTGGGACTGTGGAATAAAAGAAGACAAAGCTGAGAATGGATCAGGAATGGCAGTCCTTTACTCCTATCCTAACATGTCAGTTATGACTACTGCAGTAGACCTATTGCCACTGAATGCAGCACTTACCCTTGCGTGGTTACTTGTTTCATTAGGCTGCTTGCCAGAGTTGCGGATAGTTTTCCAGCGTGTTCGATCGTGCAGACGACAGCCTGCATGCGAGCTGCCAGCTTGGCAGCTCACAAGATCATCGGGCATTCCAGTAAACCAATGTTTCGGTAACCATTAGCCCAGTTATTGAACACATGATGACAGCAGTCACAGTCGCAGTGCAAGACACTGGCCGAACAAGGGCAGCAAGCTAAAACGATGTCAAACTGGTAACCTGAGACTGTGCCTAACTGCCGTGGTGGGAATGATTTGTCCGCAGAAGTAAAAGTTGAGGGCTTTATGTGCCAAAGTAACGACGGGCGACTGGGACGCACCAGTGGAGGATTAATTATACCTCCTGGGTATCTCGATGTGCAACAAAAAGCTGGGTTACGACGGCACCTTCTCTGTAATAAGCCTCCATCAGAGTGCTAGCCGCCTCGGTGGCTCCGAGGCGAGAGCGCTGTCCTACGGATCCCCATGTCGCGGGTTCGAATCCCGGCCGAGGTGCCCGCAATCTGACGGAGGCTTATTGCAGAGGAGGCGCCGTGTAACCGAGCTTTCGGTTGCACGTCAAAAGATCCCCAGGTGGTCCAAATAAATCCTTAGTCCTCCGCTGGGGCGTGCCAGATACCCGTCGTTGGTTTGGCACGTAAAACCCCCAAATTTGACTGTTCCATCAGAGTGCTGGCACCTCGGCGGGGATTCGAACCCGCCACATGGGGATCCGTAGGCCGACGCTTTGCCTCGACCGAGGCGGCTGATGCGTCCACAGCTCTGATGTAAATCCCTTCGCGTTTGAAATGCCAACAAATTTGGATGTTTTCAAACTGGAACATTAAACAAGGTGGCTGTGGCAGTGGCAACAGTACCCTCTGACCTCTAAATTGGCAAAGCCAAACAAGGTCACACAAATCAATGTTTTGCTCTATGCAGTGAGGAAAGGGCATGTCGATCTTTGTGGCTTATCGACGTGCAGGTGGTGATTGTCACTATATGCTACTCAGTGTTTTATCGTTGTGTCTCGTCTGACTCCTTTTTCAGGTATCCTGCGGCTGAGCGGCCTTTATGAAAGGCTTGAGGACCTCGTGCAGGGCAGCGTATACACAATCTACGGTGACCCTGCCTATCCTTTGCGGCCTTTGTTGCAGAAACCATTCATGGGTGCTAGCTTGACTGCCGCAGAGCAGAACTTTAACAAAAAAATGAGCAGCGTGAGGCAAGCAGTAGAATGGGGCTTTGGGAAAGTGTCAACTCTCTTCGCTTTTGTAGATTACAAAAAAAAATCAGAAGCACAGGCTGCAGCGCGTGAGCGATATGTATCAGGCTGCAACACTGTTAACAAACTGCCACACGTGCCTGTATGGCAGCCAAACCTCCACGTACTTTCAGCTGTCTCCGCCGACACTGGATGAATATCTTTCACCTCGTTATTGACTTCGTATAATTTGAATTCTTTTTGTGCAATCTTTTTTTTGTCCGAGTGCCTATAGTCTGTTGCATGTTGCAACTCGAGAGGGTAGGGCGAGGGAAAGGGAGGCCAGGGAGGAGGAAGTAGACGGAACCCTGGAGAGGAGTGGGGGAAACCTCCTCCTCTAGCGTTTCATCTGCTTCCTCCTCCTTTGTCTTTCTTTTTCTCGCCCTACCTTCATAGTTGCAACAGACCATAGCATCTTTTATGACTATTTATTCCACGGGATGACTTTTGTGCAATTGTCTGGTTGCTTACCTGCTGCATTTCTTTTATCTGCCTCTTGTGTTCTTTTCAAAGCAGCAACCGTGTTCCCATATTGTTTTAGTTTTGTGAACGATACAGGTTTATATGTTAAGTATATGCTATTTCTGTTATTCGTCAAGCGCCTTCAGCTTGACATAAATTTTATCAGCGTGGTGATTTTCAAGTGTCTCATGTTATTGCTTTGCCAGTCATTGCCAACATAGCATTTGCTGTCTGTTCAATATTACACTCAAAATATTTCTTTGTATAGTAAATCGAACGGGCCTACCCCTGCCATTTTTTTTCAACTACATTGTTTAATGAAATGAAAGATTTATTGCATTATGTATTATGATGTCATACCACTTGCTCACACTTAACTTTACTTGTTAATTTGACCATTCACTACTTTAAGGTAATGCTCTTGCAGTTGGAGACGAAGCCTCCTCTCCTCTGCTCCAGCCTCCTGTAGCACATAAAAATTTTCTCTTTCAAACGCTAAGCGATTTTCGCTTAAGGTCACCTGGCGCTCTTCAATGGCCAGGCGCCTCTCCATCTGGCGCTCCTCCATGGCGAGACGCCTTTCCTCAAGAGCGATCTCTAGTTTTTTTATGCTGCGGTCCTCTTCTGCTCTCTTCTCCAGCGATGCAAGGTGCTCCCTGTACCGCTTCTGCCTGGTTGCTGGAAAAATACAACAAAGGAAACAATGCACACAGCATCAAATAAACAACTTTTTTAAAATTTTTCTTAGTGTGTAGGTTGACAATTGATTGACTGTTTATTTTATTGGACCTGGCCATTCAATGAAGGTACTGCACAAAAAATACTGGGTAATTCATGTGTGTTCAAACAGTGACTGAGATATGTCTGTCTAGTAAGCAAAAAATAACAAATGTAAATGACAGCCCAAAACTTCTAGAGCAGATTTGGAGAATTTCTACAAATGGGGTTATGTGTATCCTCTTTCAAAAGTTTAACGTATGCTTGAAGCATCTACTGAAAGATGGCAGTGCTTACCCTGTCCGCCCCAAGTCCTAGGTCGTGCGACAGAAGTAACCGGCACACGAGCCTGGACTGGTGGCAAGGGGGGTTGGACCAGCGGCACAGGGGTCGGAACCGGCGGTACAGGGGCTGGGGCCAGCTCCACAACTTGGTCTGTGTTGCCTGGTTGCCAGGCGTCGGCGTCCTCCACGCCGTTCAGTATGTCAGCAAAGATAGACTGGCAGTTCTCAGAACCTGTAAATAGAGTATTGCATAAACATTTGTGGTGTATCATGACACACGCTCTGGAGCTGGGCATTGAAAATGTATGAAAAATACAACGCAGGTATGATGGGGTCAGATCTTCAAAAGACCATTCCAAAATATGTAGTGCCTCTTATCGTTTCCTCGACACATCACGACACTCCGATGTGCGGCGCGTGAAGGAAAATGTTCCATGAATAGAAGAAGCGGTTCATGCCGGCTTAGCATTCTGCATTTTCTGAATGCCTGAAACATTAATGTATGTTTAGAACATACATTAATGTATGTTTAGAACATACCTAATCAGAACTCGGCAGTTTACTCAAAGCTGTGCTCTGGGAACTACAGATGTACCCAAGTAAATTACACTTTTACTTGAGAGCAGCAGACCATGTAAGTCGTCCTCAGTAGGCTATTTGATGGGAACTCGCGAGTAGCCTAATATCAGTCGTAGACAAACGCGATTGATGGAGCGGTCATGACGACCTGACTTTCCTAACCAGGTGGGGTTCATGACGCATGTGTCATACTTACTAGACTGCCCTGCCACTGCATTATGATTGACCGGTCTGTACTCGGCTGCAGCCGCAACAACTCGCGCTGTAGTGGCAGCATCGCGAGCAGCCCGATTTGTCGCCGGCCTGGTTGTGGTGGCTGTGGCACGTTCCCGCGGTTCCAACGCAGCGGTGGAGGTGGTGGTGGCACCTTCCTCGGTGGCTGTCGCCTTCCTGAGCACTGGCTTAACCTTGTAACAAAATTCACAGGCCAGGTCAGCAACATCCTGCAGCAGCTGCTCTTTTTCGGTGTACTGCTCTTCCGTTCCGGATCTAAGGGTTTCAGGGGGAGAGCGGTATCAACAAGTGCGCCTGTCTTCCTCAAGCGTAGATCTGTTATTTCAGTCAACGAACATGAGTACATCTCCGTGTCGCGAAAGCTGCAACGCGAACTCGGTAGTTTGAAAACGCGCTTTCCTACGCGAAATGTCTAGCGGCACAGGCATGTGCGTTTCCAAACAACAGGCTCGCGCTAGCTCGCAGTTGCGCCAGCTGTTGGACAGGGTATGGCAGTATGCTAAAACTAGAGTGCCTCAATTTCCTTCTGTTTAGGGTGATGCCATCGTTGGTAGTACCCGATGCCGACAGCACGCGCTCACAGGGAAAATACAAAGAAATCGCAGGAAACAAAATGTCGCCGTAGCACAGTCAGCACCACGAGCGCGTGCAGGGACATGCACTTTCACGTGCTTCAGAACAAAAAAATAAAAATAAGCGTTCGAAACAAAATGACCAGATGTCATCACGCCAAGCAAAGCGCACATCAAGGCACCCCAGCTAAAACGCTTCTGAACTTTCAAACGGGACTCAAAAACGACTTACTTTCTCAAGTTTGTGCGGTCGTCTCGCTTGAACAGACCGAGCAGCAGGTCGCAGCGGTCTCTCACTCCGCGAACACTGAAGTTCCTCCCCAGTGCTTCATTTAGGTTCGCGGCCACTGTATCCCACCGTGAAGAATTCACAAACGGATTCACCGCAAGCACTTCCCTTAAAAGGAGGATATCCTCGATGATCGTGAATCGTTTTCGACCCGCTTGGGCAGAAAGAGGCTCGAGTGGCGCGGCCATGATCGTTCAGCTGTCGCCGGATCTCGTCAACTCTCGCGATGCACGAGAGTGCGCGCGATATTTCCCGATATTCCCGATACCTGCGCCCGAAACACCCGATACTCTAGCGCATGCGTGATGGCTCCGGCGCAGTATCGGGTATCGTTATCGGAGTGAGAAACGATCTACTAAAACTCTCTAGTGAGGCGGTGGCGGAGTATCGGGTATCGTTATCGGAGTCATGGGAACGATCTACTAAAACTCTCTATTGACCGGCAGATATTTTATCTGGGTAGCGGAGCAAGAGCGCGTTGGGCGCCTTCTCTATACTCCGTTTCACCTCATGTTGTACCGCAGCGAAGGCTGGAAGCGCGAGCTCATAGCGTTGACAGCTGCCCTTACTGCACGAGAGCTTGTGCCGCCGAGATCTGCCCCAGAGCAAGGAGCTCGCGCTTACAGCCTTTCCTGCGGTACAACATAAGGTGAAACAGAGTACTTTCAGCTCACAAGACCGCTCACACCGCTCACCAGGGTACCTAGATGTCTGTCTGTCTCAGGGTGAAGACATCCATTGTTGTCCGGAATGCGCCAGCGCGGGACGCTTTCACGCACTCGGTGCGTGACTTGGGCGGTAAGATGGCGTCTATGCATAAGCCAAAGCTACGCGCTCGAGCTGAGTGACACCGGATTGCGCGCACTTCAAAATGCATAAAAAAACGATTGGGCGGAAAAATGGCTGAGATGTCACGACTCAAGCAAAAGCGCGCATGTGTATGAAGGCACTCTACCGCTCACCAATGTGCAGCGCCCCCACGGAAAATGGAAGAAGTTCTCCTCTCACGCGCGCTCTTTTGTTTTCGGAAAGACATCGGCAGGCCGCACCAACAGGGACGATCGAGTGGCTGTGGCCATAGCCTCCTCTATACTTACGAAGCCTGGCAGATCGCCACGAGACGCGGCCGCCAAAGGCGATAAGGTAAAGCGGCAGACAAGAGGCTGAAGCTCCTCTATCTTGGGAGAGAGGAAGAAGAAGCGACAAAGTTAGAGCAGGGCTCCGTATGAGCTCCGTCTCAATTCATCCCGGCTGAGTGATAATCCTCGCTATCCACCCCTTCCAACGTTACCAAAAGTTGGGCAAGTGTTTCAGCGCAGTTTGAATTTTCTATTTCATCTGTGTGGGGATTTTTTCGCTTTACGAGACGTGTGTTAGACCACGCCGGTGGAGCTAGGCCTAACACTGGGCGAGGCCGCTCGAAAGGCGAAGACCCAAGCTCCACGACATGGAAGTGACTGTCGAGGGCACCGAAATTACTCCGGAGACATTCCGAGAACCTGGTTGGCTTCCGGCGCACCGGAAGCACAGGCACAAGAGCCCGGACGCCGAAACTACACCCGCCACGCGGCAACAGTCAACGCCGAGCAGCAAGTTCAGACCCCGAAAGTTACCACCGCTACCTCAACTACCTGCGGAAGACTACAAAGTTGTCATTCGTCTCCAAGGAGGATTCAACGCCAAATCTTGGAGCGCTGCACAGATTTCCGACAGCATCCAACATTGCGCCCAGCTTCGGAGTGGGGCGGACAAAGATATCATCCGCACCATGCCTGAACAAAATATCGTTATTGCCAGTACGCCTGAGGAAGATAACGCGGTCGCCTACTGCAGTCTTAAGGAAGTTAAGATCGGTGCCAGAACGTACTCCTCGACTACTTACGTTACGGCGCCGGGCAACTCGGCAAAAGGGGTCATCCACAACATCCCCTCGTACGATAGCCCGGCGGACATTGAACGAAGCCTAGAACGAAATACGCCCAGGGTACTACAAGCGCGACGTCTCGGAGAGACGGCGTCGGTGCTCATCGTCTTCGAAGGAAAATCGGTGCCCTACTACGTAAACTACCGTAACACAACGTACAGGTGCTTGCTGTATAGAAGAAAGATTGAAGTCTGTGAAAACTGCTACAAGGTTGGACACAGGAAGGATATCTGCCCCACACCAGACGACAAACGCTGCTCAAAATGCGGAACCCTCGCCCCAGAGGGAAGCCACGAATGTACGATGCGCTGCGCAATATGCGGTGGGGAGCATATGTCTGGTTCGAAAGCGTGCCAACACCGCTTCCACGCCCCACAGAGGGCCGCACGCAGGCAACAAACTGCAAACGAAGAAGCTGCAGCACCCACTTCAAGACCTAGCATCGGAAGGCAAAGCCGCTCCAAGGACCGGCGCTCTGCCGCTGAATCAGCATACGCAAGTCAAGGGACCTTTCGCAGTCGCAGTGCGCGAAGACGTAGTCAGAGTGCGCGTGGCTGCAGTCGCAGTGCCGGCGGTGGGCGAGGACTGATCGGGCAGAAAACTGATCGAGGTGACAGTAACTCCGCCGGCGGCGAGGAAAATCAGAGACCCTCCAGAGGCTCAACAACCACTAAGGTGACCTGGGCATCGGTAACTGATCCCTCTACTGACCAACGAGCTAATAGAGATAATGAAAATCAAATGCTACGCGCAGAAATCATGCAGCTCCGACAAATGTTACAGCGACAAAATGCTCTAATCGAGCAACTTCAACGAGAACGTCAACCATTGGCATCCCCAAATCCTGTACAAGTTAACGCACCGGCAGATACAGAACAGATGGACGTTCCGAGGTCAGCCCCTAAACGCAAAGCGGTAGAGACAGCCGAAGGGCCACATGAAAACCCGAACACTACTGCTCCACACACAGAACTTGCACCCGCTGTGAAACCACAGGACATA